TCCCCAGGCTCTACCCCTCAAATCTACAGGTATTTCCCAACCCAGAGTTGGCAACCCTGTAACTGGCTATGGAACCACTTTCCAGACCCTTGGAACCCAGAAAACATGGCACTGGAGGAGGTGCTTTTCTACCTTAGCTGCCACTGCATAACCCCAAATCAACATAAGTCAGGAGTGGAGGGAACCATGAGGCTGTCCTCCCATACTACCCACTTGGGGCAGCAAAATGTCTTGAGACAGCCCTACCTTATAGCTAAGCAGAAGGAAATAAACATGGCTTGCCTCCCTCTGTTTTCCCCTTCCCTCTGCCGCCCCATCAGCCACAGCCAGGACACTCACCTGGAGCTTCCTTCTAGAGCTCGTTGTATTTCTTCCGACAGCGGACCTTGCTCCTAGTAGATACATAATACAAAAACATGGAAAAACTCACCCCAATCTCAGTAGTAGCACATACAGAAGCCAGTTTATTCAGTCACAAAGGATCATGGGTCCTTATCCCACCATGTGTTACACATAATTTATATCTAACTGTCAGGCTGCAGCAACACAGGTCAAGTAATGAAAGATCTTGCTGCTCTAATTGGATCAAAGAAAGGAGAATCAGGCTGCAAATGCACAGGTCAAGCAGTTTGAACCTTGCCGCTTTAGTAAATAAACTTAGGGTAGGATATTAGGTTGTAATTGCGCAGGTCCAATAATTTGAAAGCTTACTACTAACTAATATAGGATGTAAAATCCATGCTTTGATTCATACCAAAAGGATATGTTTTTAATTCATAAATGAATCTAGTTTCCTTTTGTAATAGGATCTGTTCAGTGTTTTGCATTTGAAAGGGCTTATTTTGATGGCTGTATAGAATTATAAACTTCATCTCATTCACATTGTGACCTACCTGCATATAATGCCCAACCACTGGTGAATTTTCAACAGCATTATTCACTCTTGATTGGTGCTCCAGCACCCAAGTCCTAATTGCTCTAGTTGTCATCCCTACATATTTTAGCCCACATTGACAAACAGAAAGATAAATTGCATTCTTTGTAGAACAGGTTGCAGTAAAATTAAATTTATACATAATCCCTGTGTCTTTATCAGTATAACTGCTGCCTTCTACCATATACTGACAAGCCTTGCAATGTCTACGCTTTAGAAACCCTTTTGTTTTTGTTTTTTTTGGCCCCCCGAAGGGGGATTTTTTATTGCATTTCTATAAACTACAAAGAAAATAGGGAGGGGACTCTAATATCTACGGGAGAAAGGAAAGTTAACCACTAAATACCCAAGTAGTGAAGATCATTACATAAGCTTATAAAATGATTAATCTAGTCTATTAATAACACAATGAGCTTGAGTATTTAACTCTAGCCTATATTCCCCGACACCCAATATCAATTACTGTTTAAGACAATCACAAAAGCATCAAAACTAAATGTGGCTTCTTAAAGGTGGAATTCAGAGTCCCTCAGCATCTCATTTCTTGGCATTTCTTTTCCTCAAATCATAATCTCTTTTGGGGGCCGCAGCCCCCATTTCCAAATTAGAGACCTCCTCCGAGGTTGAAGAAGAGTTTTCACTGCTTTCTTTACTCTGGTCGTCATCCTTGTCAGTTGCTGCCTCAAGAACTCCTTTGCTTTCTTAACAGAGTCATTTTTTTCTTTTTTCTCGTTTATTTTGAAGAGTAAGCCTTAGGGAACCAGCCATTTGTACTGTATGTTGTTTGTTTGTAAAAACAATGCCAAGTCTTTGAATTTCTTCCTCTTCTTTCTAATTTCAAATGGAATGTCTTTTAGTATCCGTATGGTATTACCGTTGATTTTCAGGGGTATACCTGATGTTGTTTTCAAGATTTGATCCGTCACGTGTCTTTTAGAGAATCTAACCACTATTTCTCCAGGCAGATTATTTTTCTTAATGTATTCTGAATATGATCTGTGGACCACATCCATTTCGCTTTGAAGATATTCCATTTTCAAATCTGCCACTGGTGCAAGTAAATCGCCCAATACTTGTTTTAGATTCTCTCCTTTTGTCTCAGGATGAAGCTTGGTTTTTCCATTTGTAGTTGCAAAACCTGGGATTCATCAGTAATTCTTCTCTTTTCCAACTCCTGTACACGTTTTTTTACCTTTTTAGATTTGGCATTAGCTTCCTTCAGTGTTTCTGCTGTTTGCTCTGTTAATTTCTTAGTCTCATTCAGTTCCAGTTGTTGTGTAGCAAAGTTCTGGTTCAAATTAACCAGTTGCTGATTAATGTTTGTCATCTGGTCCAGCAGAGGGCGCAATGATTCAGCTAAAAGTTGTGAAAGCTCGTTGTTAGCTTCCAGTCTTAGGCTTCTACTTCCCGAAGGGGGTATAAGCTGCGATGGTTTGGTGTAGTGGTTAAGAGAGCCAGTTTGGTGTAGTGGTTAAGTGTGCCGACTCTAATCTGGGAGAACCGGGTTTAATTCCCCACTCCTCCACTTGCACCTGCTGATGTGACCTTGGGTCAGTCACAAGCTCTGGCACAGCTGTCCTTGAAAAAGAGCAGTTTGTGTCAGAGTTCTCTCAGCCCCACCCACCTCACAGGGTGTCTGTTGTGGAGAGGGGAAGGGAAAGGAGTTTGTAAGCCGCTCTGAGACACCTTTGGGTAGTGAAGGGCGGGGTATAAATCCAATCTCTTCTCTTCTTCTTCTTCTTTCTCACCTCTCCGCCCCGCCATTTTTGAGGATTGTTTACTTTTAGAAAAGTTTGCCAAAGTCTCTGTTTTTCACCCAAACATTTTACTTGCACTTTTATGTGTTTCTTAAATCAGTTCTATGGCTTTTACATCCAGCACCCTCTTTTTAAAATGCTCTGTTTGGATTTCATGTCTGGGAGTCCCCGTCCCCCCCCAAAACGCTCGCTTAACTCAAAGGGGCTATCTCGGCAAAGTTCGGTGTTTTGCTTTCAACTCAACTCACAGTTCATCGTTGGTCTCCAGACCCGCTTAAGGTACGTGTATCTCGCCTGATCTTCATGCCCTTGTCCCGGTCAGCAACTCTTAAGCCATTCGGCTGCACAGCGGTAGGACCTTTGGGGCAGAGGGAAGCCTCAATTCCCCAGCATCGAGCCGGTTGAAGAGGCAATCCCTCAAAAGCCCCCTGGCTAGGAGCCCTATTCCAAAGGGCTCCGGGGGGGTAGTGAACAGTCGCCCCCCCTCCTAGCCACTGGCGTTCAGATCGCGACCTTGGGAGCTTACCAGGGTCGCGTCCGCCATCGTGCCACCAAAAACCGGAAGAGGAGGAGGAGATTGGATTTATCCCCCGCCCTTCATTACCTGAAGGTGTCTCAGAGCGGCTTACAAACTCCTTTCCCTCCCCCTCCCCACAACAGACACCCTGTGAGGTCGGTGGGGCTGAGAGAGCTCTGACAGAAACTGCTCTTTTTCAAGGACAGCTCTTATCAGAGCTACGGCTTGCCCAAGGTCATCCAGCCAGGTGCAAGTGGAGGAGGAGTGGGGAATCAAACCCGGTTGTCCCAGATTAGAGTCCGCGTGCACTTAACCTCGAGACCAAACTGGCTCTCAGAAACCCTTTTGGATTAGTTGCAGCTGTGTTGCCTTTAAAGAAATCAGATCTAACCAAAGCATTTCTCAGATTTTTTCCTCTGTGTAGACCTATATATGGTGACAACTGACAGCCAGGAATATGGGAGACTATATGCCAGTGTCTAAAGATTGATCTTCTAATTTGATTAGAAATGCTGGAATGTTGAAAACCACATGTAATTCTTCCTGTAGATTTCCTATTTTTATATTTCAATAACTCCTCCCTGTTTACATGCTGTGCCCCCGGGCTGTGGCCTGTTTGGTCGTCCTGAATGGATAACCTCTTTGTATGAATTGCTTCTCAAGTAAATCTGCTTCAGCAGCAAAATCTTGTGGAATAGATGAATTCCTTTTGGCCCGTATGAATTGTCCATAGGGTAAATCATGACGTAATTTATGTGAATGTAAAGATGTAAAATATAATAAAGAATTTCTGTCAGTTACCTTATGGTATGGCCTGACCATACGCCTGCCCTGATGAACATATACAGTGGTGTCTAAAAAGTTAATAGACTGCTGATTGTAGTGTATATCAAACTTTATGCTGTCATGTAATGTATTGAGCCACTGGTGAAACTGATTTAAGCATATATTGCCCCGCACTAACAAAAAAAAGCGTTAATATATCTCAAATACTTTTTGTTAAGAAAAAAAGGGTTTTCAGATGCTAGGATATATGTTTCTTCAAAGTATGGCATAAAAAAAGATTAGCAAGTGGAGGGGCAGCTGGATTTTCCGTCGCAATGCCACATTTTTGAAAATATTTTTTTTTCAAACCGAAAAAATTATTTTCCGGTATTAAATCAAAAATTCCAATCAAAAAATAAGTGGTAACAGGGATATTTTGTTGTTCCTCTAATACTTCTGCAATAACCTGTCTTATTTCTCCATGGGGTATATTAGTATATAAAGCCCTTACATCAAGGGTCACCAGGCAGCAGTCTTCAGAAACCTGTGTATTCCGGACAACGCATCACTATAGTTTTATGGATTTCAAGATTACATAGATTTTTCAGGAACTATATAAGTCCACTCTATGATGAATGCATGTCAAGTTGGACTATGGAATTATAATACAACAGGAGTGAGACACATTGACATTTTAGGGACTTTACTTTTCTGCACTACTGTTGTTTCTTGTAAGAACACCTTGGCTTTATCTAGTTATATGGTTATTGTGTTGTTGAACTCAGTATTAAAATATTATTTTTATACTTTTTTTGTTCTACCTTAGTGATTTCAGCCAGCGTTTTTTTGTGTTTTGTACCTATTTATGTACGCTGGTTCCCCTCCTCCTTTGGTTTCCTTCTGCTTAATATCTTAGTCATATTGAGATAAGTGGGTTGAAGAGAGGCATCTTTATTAAACTTGCACCCCCCTGCCAAACCTTTCCCCCTCCATATGGTCTCCTCTTTGTTTTGCTTTCCTTTTATAGGATCTCCTCGGATGGTCACGGAAGGACCTTTGCAGCGAGTTTGGCATTGGAGAGACTGGCCGATCCGTGGCTTTTGACGTGGGATGGGCCGAAGAGGCTCTTGGCAGCAAGGCAGGGTGGCCTGATGAGACGGAGCAGGATCTTGAATTTGGCACTGGCAAGTGGGATTGGCTGAGCTCATACAGTGCTGGCAATGCTGACAGGCAGGATATCCCACAAGACTGGGCCGGGGGGACTCCATTGCTGGGTAATTCCAACCAAGGCCAAGAAGATTGGCTCACTGCCTATGGGAGCAGCTGCGCTGGCCAGCAGACTGGGAAGCCTGATTGGAGCAGCAGGTATGACACTGACGCCGCTGAATGTCAAAGTACAGAGCCTTATGCGAGGAAGCGAGGCTGGCCCAGGCTCTGCTCTGAAGCTGATCACGGGAGCAGGGAGTTTGCTGTGGGCAACACAGACTGGAGCAGCCAGTGTATTGGAAGTGCTGCTGCTGCTGCTGCTGACAGGACTGACTGGCCCAGCAGTGCTGAAAGTGCCAGCTGTGTGGACTCCGAGGCGAACACCCAGGCATCAGATGAGTCCAGCCAAGGCAGTCACACCCACCACCAGGATGCACAGCTTAGCCTCACAGGGCCTGATGGTGGCCGCGGCCCCTATCAGGAGGCTGCATTCCGTGCCTGTCAGTCAGGCTGGCCTACGGAAACCAGTGCTGACGCCAGGGCCACTGGCCTGCAAATGGGGTTCAGTGACCAGCAGTCGGAGCAGCCCAGTAAATGCCGTGCCAGCCATTCTGCATCTCAGGTTAACAGCCAGCAGCATCCCCAGCCTGATGCATATGGCTTTAGCGATGCCAGTTGTCCAGAATCGGAACTAAGTGCCGAGCAGTCTGACTGGCCCACTAGTTTTGGTGTGGGGGTTGCCCAGTGCCAGGGCAGTGATTCCAGTGTTGGGAAGCCAGATAGCATTGATGGGCACAAGGGTAGCCAAGTGGGCTGGGAGAGAGAAGTGGGCATTGTGAGTGGAGGCAGCACCCCGGGGTTTGGGGCGGGTGATGCGGAGTTCCGTGCCCAGAAGACCGTCTGGACTGATGCCTATGTCCTTGGTGGAACTGATCCGCAAAGTAGTGACTTCTCAGCTGGCGCAAGAGACTGGGTCAAAGGCACTGATGTCTCAGGAACTGAACGAAAAATGCAGTGCAGTGCTGCAAGGAAGGACCAAGGAGGAAGCTTTGACCCACGGGATATGTCAGGTCTAAGAATGACAATGGATTTGGTGGAGACATCTGACAGCCTGATGGACCAGACTCGAGATTTAGGAACTGTGGCCATGGATGAGTCCAGAGGAGTCGGAGAGGGGCAGTCTGACTGGACCCAAGACCTCAGCCTCAGAGGCATAAGCCTTTCTGGCCTCTCCAAGGCTGACAGCCCAGATGAATCTAGAGAACCTACAGAGGAGCAGCCTGATTGGCTCTCTGCCCTGGCTTTGGCAAGGTTGTCTGCCCCCTCAGGTGCAGGGCTTGTGAATCCAGAGTTGCCAAGAGAACCTGGTGTGGGACAAGCAGATTTGGCGTACAGACCTGGCATTGAAAGCAAGGATGTATCTGACGAAAGGTCCAAAGGTTTGGAGGGGGCTGAGGAAGCTGGCCCAATGGAGATGGGCTGGGCCAGTGAACGTCGGAAAGAACGTCACGACCAGAGTTCTTGCTCTGGAGCTCCTTGCTTGGGTGGTGGTGAGGGGCAACACCCCGGAACAAGTGAAGACCCTGGAGAGAGGTAAGAGCCCTAGTTGACTCTCTGATAAAGGTGTAGGAAGGGAGCAGAGCAGGGCCCAGCAGAGTACATGTTGGTTGTGCTTCTGTGTTGTTAATCAAGCGTTGTGAATAATTTATTGATTTATTTATTCGAATTTTATACCGCCCTAACCCCCCCCCCATGGGGGTCTCTGGGCGGTTTACAATTTTTAGAAGTGCTAATCACATGTTACTTCCCTAACTACGGCCACATTCTCAGAGGGGTTGGGACAGCCTCCCAGCACCCAGGTGGTGACGGCTCTTTCTTCCGGCTTCCGGCTTCTTCGGCTAGTCGTTGGGTAGCTGCTCACCCCCCCCCCGATCTCTCCCAGTCACTGCAAGTTAACTGTTGCAGTTAATGTAATGGTACTCTGCTGCTGCAATCTGGTGCCACAACAAGCTCTAATTCAACAGGAATTTGTTGCTGTTGTTTATGAACCCCACTTGTCCACCTCCTCTTGTGTGTAGAGCTTGTTCAAACGCATCCCAGTTTAATCAAGCTTCTGTTTGCTACGGCTTCTGCATGCAGGCACCTTGGCAAACAGGACTTTTGTTTCCCCCCTTACAAGTTGGGATTCTAAATCCTCTGTTAAATCCCAGTTTTGGATCCTGGCTTGTGGGTGGAGAAGCAAGATCCCGTTTCTGAAGTGTGTGCATTTAAATGCCAAAGCAGTGCTTAAGCAAACCAGGAAGTGTTTTGTCAAGCTCTGTGTGCAAGAAGAGATGAGAAGAGTAAGGAGAGCACGTGAGCAGAGCAAATAAGCTGCGTTTGTGCATAAGGCTGACAGGCCACCATTTAAATTGCTTGCGGTGACATCTGAATGTCATGCGGTGCCCAGCTGATGAGGCAGCTCTTGCAGTTTCTCCTTAAAGTCCAAACGCTTGGAGGGAATCAGGATAGGCAGAAGCCACAGTGCTGCTCTGTAGAGACAGGCCTGGTCCTGTGGCAGCAGCTCTTCTGGCGCTCTCCCTCACTTCATTCAGGATGGACGGGGCTGCCTTCCTATATGTGCTCCTCCTGTCTGCTAGGAGGGACACAGGGGTCACATGTTCAGTTGTATTTCCCCTGTCTGTCTGTCTGTCTGTCTGTCTACCTCTCTATCATTGCTCATACAGCTATCGCCTTAAGCAGAAATTAGACCCAAAGAAAATATTTAAAAAGACCTTACTCAGCACTATTTCTCTTATATTTGATTATTGTGCCTATGAATTCTGCCACTGAGAGGGCGACACGATCACTGGCATCTGATAGTAGCCACGCCACCTGGGCTCGCACACTTAGCAGTTCCATACCTTTAAGTAAAGGGGTGACTAAATTAGCCCTCAACTCATCGGATACAGGGCACTCCAGAATCATATGTTCGATATGAGCATCTGCATGTTCTATCAGAGTATGATACTTTATTATAGCTGCCCTCCAAAACTGCCAAGGGACGAGCGTCCAGTCTTGCCAAAGTAAAAGCTCTTCTTAGTTTTGGGGCTGTCAATTGATAAAAATATTTTGGCAGTTGCATCGGGAGGGCAGTTCCCAAATAGAGTGTCGAACACACCCTGCACGCCCGAATAGAGGCACTAATAGATGTACAAAAAACCCAGGAGTAGTTGATGGCTACCTTCCAGTCTGGTTCTGAGAGAATATGCAGACACAGTTATGCACTACTGCTCTCTCCTGGCTGAAGAAACACAGTAGGACACTGGCTGGTGCAAAACAAGTCCGTAGACAGCAGCAGTGGGACTGCATCTGGTCACCTCGAAGCTTTTTCCCTTTTGCTTGCCGAGCCAGTCTCAGAGGGTGGTTGTGGGGGTGGACTGATGGATGGGAGAATTGTGTATGCTACCCTGAAGGAAGTGCAGGATAAAAATGTGATGTGACCAGGGCTAGTGCCTCATCACAAAGCTGCCTTTCATTTTGGCTCTTGTTCTAGTATGGTCAGTTTCCCATCCATGTCAGTGTCTTGGTTTGGCTACCTGCCCTATTCAGTGAGTTGGAGAACAAGGAGACTGGTTTTCTTTTGGCTGGCGTCCTTTTAGAGCTGTCTTGTTTCAGCAACATGCTGTACCAGCCGGCCCAGTATCCTGTCCAAAGCACCGGCCTGCTCGTGCGGCCTGCTTTGAAGCGGCTTCCTTCTGTGTCTCATGCTCTTGTGTCCCTTTGGGAGGAGTGCAGGAGGAGTCACAGTGGCTCAGGCTCTCTTTCCTGTAGCATATTCTGCCGATCTCCTAAAATGGGATATATATTTCTTCTCACCTAAGCCTTCACTTTGATTACTGGTCCTGCTTTCTAGTGATGATACTTGATTTTGAGATTCAGCATCTGCCTCTGTGGGAAGTAGAGAAATATCTGCATCCTATGGGGACTGTGTCGTGCCTCCTACAAGTTCCTGTTTCTTCCACTGCTGACTCTGCCTTGTGTTCCTTTAAGAAGTTTATAATGTCAACTGCAATTTCACTGGTCTTTCAGAATCCATTCAACTGAGCTGCAAATTGGAGGATTCCTTATTAGGGAACATGCTTGATTACCATAAATTTAAGTTTGTTTTTTTAAAATTTATTACAACATACTACATTAGAGATATACAAAACCAAGCAGAGTATAAATAACAAACAGTAAACACTTTGCTTTAAAAAATTGTAGCTACATTGAAGTCTAAATCCAAAAGCAGTTTTAAAAAATATCATTACTAAGTTTATACGAAATAAATATATATCAACTAAAGACTATTATTATGAGAATACTGATAAGAGCTATATTGTTATATACAGTGCAGAGTTTGTAATAATGGAATACGTTATACTGTTTTATGTTCAGAAGTATAACCAAGAAGCATAGGCCGGATTGTTTGGGAGTAAATCCTTCTCAGTCATATATTGAAGGCAAGGGAACCAGGTGCGGTCAAAGAGTGATTTCGTTGTACAGACTTTCGTCTGAGCTATATTTAAAGTGTCACTTATCTTATCCATCAGGAATTGTTCCCACACTTTATTTCTCCAGGCCTCTAAACTTGGAGACTTGGGTGACTTCCAGGCCGCTGCGATGGTGGTTTGTGCCGCCGTAAGTAGGTATGATGTTAGCTGTTGTAGCGGTTCTTCATCGTGAGCTGGATCTCTAAAATGTAATAGGATAACTTTAGGAGAAAGCGGGATGTTCTGTCCTGTTATTTTCGAAATTTCGGAGATTATCTGCACCCAGAAGCTTTGCACATGAGGACATTGCCACCAGCAATGTATATAATCTCCTACCGCCCCACATTTTTTCCAACACAATGGTGAGTATGCTTTATTCATGTGGTTTAGTCGGCTAGGAGTATAATACCATCGAAACACTGTTTTAAAAAATTGCATTCTTACTTTAAAGATTTTTGATTTATTGGCTTTCGATGACCAAATCTGAGACCATTGTTGTTCAGACAGTTCAGTTTGTAAATCTCGTTGCCAGGCTGACTGGAATGCCATTTTCGTTGTGCTGTTAAATTCTGTTAAGATTTTATATATTTTTGAAAGGAGGTGTTTTGAGGAGTCAGAAAGTGTTTCTAACAATGTTTCAAATTGAGTTTTGGAACTCTTGAAAATCTTTTTGTCAGCCAAGTGCTCTACAAGACTCCTTAATTGATGGTATCTGAGCCATGGAATAGGTTTACCGATTCGCTCCTCAAAAAAATTCTTGTTCATTATTTTTCCTTTCTTAACCAAATCTTGGAGTTGATTGAAACCTGCATCTGTCCAGATTTGAAATGCCCCCGGTTCCTGGCCTGGTGGAAACCACCCCTGATTTGTATACGCTGATAGTTGTGAAATGGAGGGTACCAGACGTTTCCTCTGTCTATCCCAAATTCGTATTGTATGACTTAAATACGGATTATCAGTCACTAGTTTAGGTCTCTGCTGTTGGGGGCACCATAAAAATTCTCGTAGTGTAAGAGGGGCAACACTGGTTTGTTCCACCATCATCCAGTTAGTTAGTGAGGAACCATCCAACATCTTCAGAGCATCAGAAAGAGCTGTGGCATTATAGTAATTTTGTAAGTCAGGTACATTAAGACCACCACTAGAAGTTGGCCGAGATAAAATGCGTTGATCGAGTCTGGCTTTTTTAAATGCCCACACAAAAGTTGTCAAAGTATGTATCTTGCCATACTTTAATGTCTGCATCTGGTATATTAATGGGCAGCACCCTGAAAAGGAATAAAAAGCCTGGGAAAATGAAACTTTGGATCAAATGAATTCTATCCGGAAGTGAAAGTTGGAGATTCCAGTCTTTAAGCCTTTGTTGGGTGTCTTTATGTAATTTATTAAAACATAAATTTAAGTTTTTAGCATTTCTACCCCTTGATCTTCTTGTAGCTTTGACTTGACTTTCTTGACGATTTTTCAGTGTTGTCTTGCCCACACATTGGCCCGCACAGGACGGGGAAAGAAATAGCGAGGCAAGCCGGTCTCCCTGTTCCGTTATCACACTGAACATCAGTCAAAGGATAGGTTTCGCTCAGGGACCTCGAGCTCTAAAGGGCAGGGCTGTGGCACCAGCACCAACACCCTACAAAGGGCAGGGGGGCACTGGCGGGGGGGGGCAGAGGTCTTACCTGGGCCCATAACTGCTCTTGCTTCGGTCCATGAGCGGCAGGGAGGGGGGCTTAAGCATCTCCTCGGCACGGCCGTGATGCAGCCGGGAAACTCTGAGAAAGATTCCTCTATCGGGATGCCAATTTGCATTGCCCTGTGGGGTGGTAGACTCCTCCTTTGAATGTATGTTGTTCGTATTTCTTCTGTGGCAATACTTATCCAACCTTTTGGCTGCTCTCTAGGCACTTGGAGAGAGGAGCAGGTAGGGTGAGTTAGGATTCTGTTGATGTAGACGTGGCACACACTCTTTCACAGGGAGGGACAGATTCCCTGAACAGGGTGAGTAGATACTGGTCTATTGCCCGAGCAAGTGGAAGAGAAGTATCTTGCCTGGCAGCCCTCAAACCTGATAACTACACCTGTACTTCTAGGAAAATAAAATCAGGGAGCAGCTTGCTTCAGGCATATGAAAAGTAAGAAAAGCAGGTTACAAACACAGCCGCTCCCTTCTCTCTGTCCCTTCCAAACTGAAAACTACTCTCTTACATACAGTGTAAGCCCTGTTGTTTCCCATAGGCCATATAACATGCTTCTCTCCTATTCAAATATACAATATACTTCTGATGAAGATGGCTGCTGTCCATGGAAACTTGTATTTCAGTGAATCGGTTACTCTTTAGGGAGCCGCAAAGCTCCCTTTTTCAGCAACAGACCAGCACAGCTATCCCACTGGACTAAGAAATGCTTCTGTCGCTGCTTGGTATAAGGCTCTTAGATTCTTAGGTCTTTCTATTTTAGAGAGCCCACAAATCCAGGAGGCAGAAGGTACGGTATGTGGAAGCTTGCTGAAGTGTAGTTATAATCCTGGGCCAGGACTTCCTTAGATCTTCTTATCACACACTCTGTGCGGACAAGCAGAAATTAATAAGGGAAGCTAGACAAATTTTAACTGAACTTACTTTTAAAAGTAGACTACTCCTAATGATAAGAACTGTCCTTTTTGAGAATACAGACTTCAAGGGTGGCATCTTTTCCATTTTGAGCATTCAGTATCTCTTGAAACTCCAGTCACTGGGTGAGGGTGTCTTTGCTTGTCCTTGTTGACATGAGGGGACCTCGTGGTCCACAAAGCAAATAGGTGTCTTTTTAAATAGTGGGAGCAAACCTCACCAAGGGTCATTTTCCTAATTTATGTTGTCATCCCATAGTCCTTTGTATCCTAGTCTGGCAGCCTGGAGAGGCCATCAGGAAGGACCTGGATATGACTTAACTAGGGCCACACACAGTCCATTTAAAGATACAAGTTCCACCCAAGGAGACCCGGCATCACGCAGGAGATGTGCCATCCATCGTGAACCCTGGTATCTCCATTGCTGACTCCCCAAATCCCCACTGGATCCTCTCTGGAGAGACACTCTGGCCGTCTTGGGGCAGTCACTCCATGAGCAGCTCTTTTAATGAGGCTGGTTTATTTGCTGACCTTTTCTTTTTATTTGCTTTGTTTAAATGAGTGTCTGGTTATGTAAATCCCTTGTGTGATAAATTAAGGCTGAACACTGAACTGGGCCAGACAGCCCTTAGATTCAGGATTATTTGAGTTGCTGATTTCTTGTTTGGGTTATTTCCCCATGAACTTGAGTCAAAATATCACCAACTTTTGAATTTGGACTAACTTCCACTTCACTCTGCTGCTCCCCTCCCGTCTTTCTCGGGATCACCTGGTGTCATTTGCAGGATTTGATTGTTCTTTTTATAGGGTAGCTACCTATCCATGTTTTTTTTTTAATCCAGACAGTACAGGAATAAAATGCTTGCTATCAAGAACAGTTTTTGTCCCAGACACTCAAAATCTGGAGATAATTGAAGAAAGACCAAACAGATTTAATGAGTGGGGAGATGGCTGGGAGGGGGGGGGAAAAGCAGTGTTTCCCCTTCTGGGTACCCCCTCCAGTCTGGCAGCAGCTATCACTTGGCTCCCTTGGGGCTTATGATCATGCTTCTATATGCGGGAACCTCAAATATGGTTGGAGAAAGATGACCCATGGCAGCATGCACTCTGCGTATGAGTCATGTGATTACGGGGCAGCATTGTGGATGGGGAAACCATGCCCAAGCCGAGCTTTTCCTCTTCCGAGTTACATCTGTTTCTCCTCTAAGGCTGGCTGCGCATTAAGAACTCAGTAAGAATCTTGATGGACTGGACCAGGAGGAGTCTGTTTCCATCAGTGGCCGTCTGGGTTTTAGGTTGAGGTCAGGAAAACCTGACCTGAAAGGCACAGCCCTCTTCCTTCTCTGCTGCTGTCTGGAAGGAGTTCTTCCAGAATGGATATTTCCCATTCGTAGGTGCAGGGTACCTTGTCATTGCTATTCTGAGTGCAAGTGGGTTTGTGCGTTTGGCCCCATGGAAATGAACCCTATGGGCAAGTCCTTTGAGCCTTCGGGAGGTGGGACCTCACAGTGGTCAGCAGGTGGCCCCTCACTCAGCAAGGGGTCTTTCCGTGGTTTCTGCCTTTCTCCCCTTCCCAGCGTTTTGTGGTCTCGTGATTTATTTTTGTTATAGAACTCTGTGCCCTGACCCGGAGAGCCCCGGCTGGCCCGATCTTGTCAGGTCTCGGGAGCTAAGCAGGGTCAGCCCTGGCTGGTATTTGGATGAGAGGCCAGCAAGGAATGACACTGGCCGTGGGGTCCCCATCAGTTTGCTGTGACCTGACAGCAACAGTAACAACAGCACAGAGTTCTGCATGGCTGAGTGCTGGATGTCATTTCAGAGCAGCAGTCTTGTGTTCCTGACCCTAGATTGCCCCCCAGTGCTGCCTGCCTAGATCTAGAGTAGCTGTGCCCATCTTGAAACCCACTCAGCTGAAGGCAGCTCACTGTTTGGGACTGATCAGGCACTGGAACCCCTCTTTCTAAGGTCAAACCGTGCTTTGCTGTGCTCGCTTTGGTTGCCATCGTTATTAGGGGGGAGGGGGTTCCTGTGGGGAGGGGGGCTTAGTGATTGAGTGAGAGAAGGGGACCTTTGCTTCTAGATGAGGTAACTTTCCTCGCAAGTCGCACCTCCTTTCCCTTTCCCGGGGGAAGGTGTCCTTGAGAGCTTCCCTGTACCAGCTTGAGCTGCAGATAACCAAGACCTCTGTCTTCCACTTGGTTGAGATGGCAGCATTAGGCGTGGTGTGGATGTGTGACGTATGCCTGGGGGGAAGGAAGGGGCTTTTCTTCGAATTATCTGTGTTACCCTTCTTCCCGCCAAATGTCTTCAGTTCTAACACAGTGACTTTCGGGATCTTGCATACATCTCAATAAACTTATCACTGCCAAGAGAGAGTTGCTGAGTGTAACGACTGGGGGGTCTGACAGATACAGTGTGTGCATTTGCACTCATACTGTGTGCATTTGCACTGGTTTCTCACTGATAGTCAAAACCAGGGGAGGCAAGAGGTACATGACTCTGGGGGGGGGGCGGTCCGGAGAGGCAGGCAAGGTGGGCACTGGGGGTGTGTGCCCCGCTGGACATTCTGCAGTCCTTCACCAGTAAGCCCCTCCCCTCCCCCTCCTCCCCATGCGTGGCATATCTTGTGCCCTCAAGGAAGCGTGTGAGCCATTTGGGTCCTCCTTTGCCTGCGCTTGCTTTAAATGCTCCCTGCATGGCAAGGGTGGCATTTCCATCGTTGGCTGGAGCTGAGGCCTGGCCTGGTAACTGGTCATCAGTTTAACTTGTTTTCACATGATGATTGTGATGTCATGGGGATGTAAAGGGGGGAGATACAAGAAAGGGGGTTCATGTTTACTCTTGAGGGTCCCTGTTGGATCGTAGGGTTGAATTGCCCCTGCATAGCGTTGTCTACTTTGTTGTCTCCATACTGCTGAGTTGCATGTGAGAGGTAGTCCTTCATTTTTTCCTGACCTGTCTACTTCTTCACACCCCTTTATTAGTCTTTCAGTTAGAGCAAAACATTTCTATAGGAAGAGTAATCATTTGGGGATTCATCGGGGGGGGGGGGCAAGGGTGGTGGCAGAATGGAGAGACCCTGCTGAAGAGGGTAATGAGTAGAATCTCACACTGCCTTTCTTTACCTCCCCAGCAGAGCGCCCCACAGTGAACAGTTGTCCACTCCCAGCCACCTGCTGGAAGAGATGGTTGCCAACAGTGCTGTCGAGGAGGTGGCTCAACAGAAGAGACCTACTTCCTCCCACAGCTGCCGTTCAGGAGAAGAGGGAAGACTCGGCACCTTGACCGATGACCAGATGACTGCAGCTGAAAAGACTAGGGCCTCTCCTGCCTCAGTGGAAGTGCAAGAGGATGAAGAGGTCCGGTCCAATGGAGATGGTGGTATCAGCCAGCTGGACAGTAGAAACTGTAGTCAACCACCTCTGGAAGCAAGGCGGCTGAGTCATCCAGAGCAAAGTGGAAGCCAAGCAGAAGAACCCGTATCCCAAGAAGGTCACACTACAGATGGGGCTGGAGCACCGTCAGGGGAAACCCCCATCTTCTCCGTGGTAGGCACTCGACTAGGACATTCTGAGGAGCTTTGAGACACACACACACACACACACCCCGGCGCATATGAACTAATATGAGAGCTTGAGACTGTTGGGACCTTTGCTTTGTACTTGAAAGGCAGCATTGTCTTCCTAATGCTGCCTCTTTCTGAACTCTTGACAGAATACTTTGCCGAATCATCCCTCTGCTGAACTTTGGCCATTGTCTTGGGATAGGGTTGCCAGGTGGGGCCTGGAGTCCTCCTGGCATCACCGCTGATCTCCAGTTGGCAGAGATCAGTTCCCCTGGAGAAGATGGTTGCCTTGGAGGGTGGGCTCTGTGGGTGTTATACCCTTCCTGTGTCCTGCCCTCAAATCTCTAGGGATTTCCCAACTCTACCTACAGATGTTATCAGAGGCTTTGTAACTTTGCTCACAATCCCCCCCCCAAAAAAAATAATAATAATTGAGCTTGTGCTTTTTTGCTTAAGTGGTTCCAAGGTGGTGAATAACAGAGGATTGGTTTGAGGAAAGAAATACTAACCTTTCTAATATTTCCATTCAGCCAAGAATGTGTCTTCATAGTGTACATGGGTTCTTCCACTCCCGCCCCCACTTCCCAGCATCACAGTTTTGTCCCTCACTCTAGCGGCAGTAAAGGGGCAGAGTTGTAGCCAGACATGCCAATTTCCCCAAAGGCCCACACACACACACACACACACACACACACACAGAAGCAGGACAAGCATGTCCAGTGTAGGAAGCCCCCCACACACACACACTTCAGGGTTGGGTGATACCACAGAGCAATGCAGGCAGCCTTGCAAGAAGCAGTGTGGTTGAAAGATTCCTAAATACTTTCCTGTCATCTTGCAGCCCTCAAAGTTCTTACTAATTTTATGGTGGTTGGGTTTGTATTTCTTTTTCCTTGCAGGGTTCATGTATATTTTGTGTGTGTGTGGGGGGGGTTCTCAATTTTAAATATGCTGAAAAGAAAATATTTAGGGTTGGGCAGAAGCAACCAAAAGAAAATTGACAAGTACAAATCATATTTTGGGGTGTCATTTGGATAACCCTAACCCTGCAGGCTGAATTTCTCTGCAGTACCTCTGGAGAATAGTATTCAGTTCTGCTTCCGAAGGAGCAGAAACGAAGGAGGATCTGTGTGGGCCGTTCCTGTGCACTTGTGGGAGGCTTGTTGCTCTGAACCCGGCTTCCCTTGCTTCCTTCAGGACACAGAGGTTCTTGACGCCACCGCGTATCGTGATCGGGCTAACTTGGGCCGGAAGCGAGGTCATCGGGCACCAGTCACGCGATCTGGGGGTGCCCTTTCGGACAGCTGGATGTTCAAAGACTCCACAGGTGGGTCTGGCATGTGGTCCTCGTGTGACATCCATGGGGGCACTGCTGATTTCTGTCACCTGCCTGTGCATTTGGGGCAGACTCGCTTGTTTATGCCTTCCTGTTTGTCACAAGAAGCTCCCAGGCATTGTTCGTGGTTGGTTGTGGCTAAGATTTTTGGCAGGATTTTCCCAGTTGGCCTGTTGCCAGTGTGTTCTAGGTGCTGCACTTTTTTATTATTCTATTAATTTAATTCATACCCTGCCCTCCCCGCGAGCAGGCTCAGGGCGGCTTACATAGTTGGTCTATAATGACCATTCATTCACATAAGAACAGTTTAAAATTTCAAATACAGTAAAACATAAATTCAGAAAGTGCTAGTGCTGGTACACTGGGTACCTAAGATGTCAAGCTGGAAATACCTTACAGCCAAACAGTTTGCCATTCAGTGGTTTTCCTGAGCTCCGTGGTGGAGGCCAGATGTTAGAACTACGGGCCGGCTCTTTGGTAGTAGTGGGGGGGGCTCCTCGTTGAAAGCCAGGCGGAAGAGCTCCGTCTTGCAGGCCCTGAGGAACGGCACAAGACCCTGCAGGGCCCTGATCTCCTCCGGGAGCTCGTTCCACCAGTATGGAGCAACCACCGAGAAAGCCCTGGCCCTAGTGGTGGCGAGCCTGGCATCCTTGGGGCCCGGAAGGTTCTGGGACCCTGACAGTGCTCTCTGGGGTATCTATTTAGGCCGTTTCTTTCATTTCCCTGTGTTGGGGAGTTGGCATGAATTGTGATGTACTGCATAGGTTCTCCTGTGTTTGTTCTCCTTTTAGAGCCTCAAGTAGCTCCTGTACACTCTGATGAAGAATCTTCTGAGGAACCAAGGAGCAGACGGCCCCAAAGTTCTCCATTGTCCAAGGGGGTGAAGGTGCCGCTTTTCTCAGGCCTCAACCCCTCAGCATTGAAGGTAGTCTCTGACGGAGCAGATAGGAAGTAGGATGAGGAATGACACAATGAGGAGGACTCGTGTGTTAGGGCAGCTTTCATGCTTGTTGGTTGGAAATCGTAATGTTCAGAGCTACTGATGGTGATGGTGGGGGGTTCATATCTGATTTCGCGACCCTCGTGGTAAAAGGAATTAAATGGGGGCAGGCGTGTAAAGAAGAAGAAGAAGAGAAGAGATTGGATTTATACCCCGCCCTTCACTTGGAGTCTCAGAGCGGCTTACAAACTCCTTTCCCTTCCCCTCCCCACAACAGACACCCTGTGAGGTGGGTGGGGCTGAGAGAGCTCTTGACAGAAACTGCTCTTTTTCAAGGACAGCTGTGCCAGAGCTTGTGACTGACCCAGGGTCACATCAGCAGGTGCAAGTGGAGGAGTGGGGAATCAAACCCGGTTCTCCCAGATTAGAGTCCGTGCACTTAACCACTACACCAAACCGGAAAGCAGAAGGTTGCCAATAAACATCAGAAGGTGGAGGGACAGGGCAGCTGTAGGTAAATGTTGAGGCCTGATTCTGCTGTTCCCGTTCCCAGGCCAAGCTACGAGGCCGAAACCGTTCTGCTGAGGAAGGGGATTCCCACCGCGAGGCCAAGCCGAGTCCTGCCAAGGAGGCCCACAACGTGCAGCGCTCTAAGTCATGCAAGATGGCCAGTGGGAAGCCTCTGGGGCTGCCACCCAAGCCGGAGAAAGCCTCAGGGTAGGCCCGTGAAGGTGGGGGGGGAGGTGGGAAGGGGCACGTGGAGGGGGGATAAAGTCCACATCCGCTCCCTCCCCTCTGCTGTCCTTCCCTTTGGGCTTCCTGGGGGTCAGGGTTGTTTCTCCGGTGCTCCTTCTTTTCTGAAGGAAGTTGGAAGTATTTTTTGTGTGTGTGTGTTGTGCACAGAGGTTTGGAACAAGGGATGCAAGGTGAGAAAACATTTGCTTAGGCATCCTCTTGTCACCCCAGCAGAGACCCAAAAGTGGCTTACATTGTACTCCTCCCCTCCCTCCATCTTATCCTCACAACAGCAACTCTGTGACGTAGGTTAGGCTGAAAGAGAGTGACTTGCCCAAGGTCACCCAGCGAGCTTTCAGGGCTGGGTGGGGATCTGAACCTGGGTCTCCCAGATACTGTTCTGACACTGTATCCTCTGTATAGTTTGGCTTTGCAGAGTAGATAGCTGTTTTTCACTTCTGTGTGCAGTGATGTCACCTTACTGCTTTACCTCTCTCCTCACCCTCCCCAGGTCAGAAGCGTCATCGCCCAACTGGCTGCAGGTTCTGAAGCTGAAAAAGAAGAAGTCTTGAAAGGGAACTATTGAGGCAAGTGTCTCCTCAGAGGGCTTGAGTGTGGCTCTCTCCCATTCCTGCTCCTTCTGTCTGTTGGATCACTGTAGGGCGTTACGTGCAGGACATTTGGTCTTTGGGGTCTGCAGCTAGCTGCAAGGTGTGTTTGTGGATTTTGACAGTTGATCCAGAATTCTCACAGAAAAGCGCCTGAGCCTGTCGAGCAAGAGTGCTCCCAAGCTGCTATGGAAGACTGGAGGGTCCAGGTACTTGGGATTCCTGGCTCCTAAGAGCTGACTGGGCCTGGAAGGAGATATAAGAACAGCTGTTGCGTCTCTTCATGGCCAGTACCCCTCTACCTCAAATCCTCTCCATCGTGTGTCCCAGGACTGTCCCAGGACTGTCTCAGGAGTTTCAGAGCTGCCAGTATTTGCACTGAAATAATACTTGCACAAATTGGGTTCTTTCTCGTGCATATATGCTTTGCTCATTTACAGCAGTCTCCTTAGAATGGGCAGGCCTTCTGCACTCCACCAAAATCTTTCCTGTGTGGTAAAGGCCCAGTGCCTCGTTCTGTAATGAGCGGATCCAAAGGCAGGAACCCTCTTCCTGGACAGAGAAGTCCAGCCATTAAGGCAGTCCTGCTCTCCTGTTAGGCAAGTGTTGAAATTTATTCTTTGTTCTGCTGGAGAAAGGACTGGTCTTGTTGCTCTGGATAAAGTTATAGTTAAAAGTGCAGGAGGAGGCTTCCTTCTGCTTCTGTACTCCAGAAGTAAGTGCTGTTTCTGTGCTGCAAAACTAATTGTAAGCGGGCATGCTGGTGTCCTTCAGATGTGGGTTATTTTCCATATTCAGAGTGGCCGTGCTCTTTCTTGGTGGACTGAATCTCTGCAGGCAGCTTCATGGACTAGAGAGCAGGGTGAGGGAGGCTGGTCCTTTGATCACCGCACACGATGGCATTGGAGTCACGGGGCCATTCCTGTGTGGATGGTATCCGGCAAGGGAACTTGTCTTAGCAGCAGTGAGCCAGGCTGAACACAGGTGCCTGGCACAGACATTTCCAGCAAATAACACAACTGGTTCACACAGGGACTGTAGTGGAGAATTGTGCTGACACTGGAAAAAACATGGTGAGAGATGTTCCCCGGGAGGCCTCAGTTTGCTCGGTGGTTGTAATTATTTGAAAAATGTTGCCACCTAGGGGTTGTGGCTGTGTATGACATGCCATTTCTTTGAGAGAAGTGCAGGATTGGGGGTGGGAATGTGCTTGGCTTTTTCCAGAACCAGGATTTCATGCGATCCAGTCACTCTGTCTAGTTTGATGATTTGGATGAGGAAAGGAAAGGGGTTTATTTCCTGGGCCTCAGACTTCAAAGGGAAATGGCCTGAAGCAGAACTATGGAGTTTTGTCTAAATTCAAATGTGCTGCTCCAAGGCGGGGCGGGGGAGACTTAACCTCCCAGCCCTTTGCCCAGAGTTGGGCGGTGATGCTCAGTTCTGCAGGTGGATTTCCCTGCAGTGCCGCCTACAGCCTTGACAACTTTTGGAATTCATGTCATGTTCTTTTTGTTATAGATGTTGCTCTCCAGCTGCTGGAGCCTTGACAGCAGATGTTCCAGTGAGATTGTCATGGATGGAAGTCTTGTTTACCATCTAACATCTTTGAGGGATGGGGGCGGGGGGGGATGGGGGGGAGTGGGAAGATGAGGCACATTTATGCACTTTGTATCACATTCACTCTCACTCATGCTATGTGGCGGCCAGATTCTCTCCATCACTCCGCAACAGTTGAGACAGTAAGCAAACTTGTACTGCATACCATTTTATAAAGTCTATTTTTTGTAACTGGGCCAGGCGCTTTGGCCCTTTCACCCCATGGTGGGAGACAGTGCGGTGAGGGTTCTGTTCTCTCTGCTGCCATACATTGCATTTCAGATGAAAGATATAAATGGGTTGTTTTTGTCTCTGGCCACTTAAAACAAATAAAGGTTTTATGGCAACAGAGGTACTGTGGTTCTTTGTGTGTGTGTGTGTGTGTGTGTGTGAAAGAGAGAGAGATCTTCTGACCTATATCCAGAGCTGTATGCCTTGTTACTTGGCAACCAATTTCAAAGACGAGTTATAATGAAATGCTGATCAGTGAAGAAATAGGTATTGCTTTTTCACGGATAAAATTATTCTGTGTGGATTTCTTAAATTTTCTTCCTTTCATTTTTCTCTGCTTGCCTGAAGCAACACTCTTGGAATTTTTGAATGAAAGTAGGTCTTAGAACACACAGGCTACTTGGTTGTATTAACTTGAGAGCCAGTTTGGTGTAGTGGTTAAGTACACAGACTCTAATCTGGGAGAACCGGGTTTGATTCCCCACTCCTCCACTTGCACCTGCTGATGTGACCTTGGGTCAGTCACAAGCTCTGGCACAGCTGTCCTTGAAAAAGAGCAGTTTGTGTCAGAGTTCTCTCAGCCCCACCCACCGCACAGGGTGTCTGTTGTGGGGAGGGGAAGGGAAAGGAGTTTGTAAACCGCTCTGAGACTCCCAAGTGAAGGGCGGGGTATAAATCCAATCTCCTCTTCTTCTTCTTCTTCCTTTCAATAGGAATGAACAGGCAGAGAACTCTGTATTTTATAGTAGCTATTCTGTTGATACACACAAACATCTATAAAAAGAGGCATTGTTGCTCGGTGGTAGTATATTACAATGATTTTGGCTCGTATATCTAGCCCTGCAAGGCTGAGATTGGGGAAAAGCAGTGCTTCAAGTTGGCAGCCGAAGTTTGCTGACAGGTTGCTGCTTTGTGAGTGGAGTGATTTCAGATGCAAAATGACACTAGGAGACAAGTGACAATTTGCAGAGAAGTAGATTCACTGCCACAGGAGATGGTGGCGGCTCCAAGCATGGACAGCGTCAAGAGGGAATTAGATAAGCATATGGAGCAGAAGTCCATCAGTGGCTATTAGCCACAAGGTATAGACAGGAACTCTCAGTCTGGGGCAAGTGATGCTCTGTATTCTTGGTGCTTGTGGGGGGTGGACAGTGCGAGGGCTTCCTAGCCCCACTGCTGGACCTCCTGATGGCACCTGGTATTTTTGGCCATGGTGTGACAGAGTGTTGGACTGGATGAGCCATTGGCCTGATCCAACATTGGCTTCTCTTATGTTCTTAGGTAGTAGGTGTGAATTTCAACTAATAATGAAGCTCAAAACAATGCATCCACCTGGATTGAATCGAGACCTAGGTTTCCTGTCTCATTACCAATGCTGATTTCTCCACGCATACTACGTCAGCAAAATGCATGCTTCCCAAAGGCTCATGGGAATGCTTTTAAAAAAGAATGCCTTTTAAAATAATGCTTTTAAAATGATCTAGATGGTCTACAGCAGGACTGGGCTAGCAGAAAAGGGGATTGTTGGAGATGTATTGAAGGTGCCACTCTTGAGTGCCCTTTTAAGCTGTCTTGCCTTGTGGAAGGGAACTCAAAAGGCATTCAGATGCCCTCTGAGCTGTCTTTTTCTGAGTCCCATGATGCCCCCCCGGGCCCCCCCCAAATTCCACTGTCGGAGGGAGAGGGAAGCCTGCGGGCAGGCTGGCGCGGTGCTCTCACCCTGGCTGCTGCCAGCAGCGGGAGTCTCTCCTCAAAAATAAGGTTTCTGGCATGGCTGTTTGTGGGGTGGGGCTTTTGCTTAAAAATGCCACACTGTAGCTACAGGCTTGGCTGAAGGGGTTCTGAAGGCCGGAGAAATCTAGTTCTGATTTTACAGGAGGCAAATAAATAAAGCTGCTGCAATTCTGGCTTTTTTATATGTTTGTGTATGCATTCCCTATTTATACTGTTTTTACTTTGCCATTTCCTCCATGCAGCTAAGTGGGCACGTATCATGATCACAATAATCCTGGGGGGGGGAGGGTGGATGGGGGGGGTTAGTTCTGATTTTACAGGAGGCAAATAAATAAAGCTGCTGCAATTCTGGCTTTTTTATATGTTTGTGTATGCATTCCCTATTTATACTGTTTTTACTTTGCCATTTCCTCCATGCAGCTAAGTGGGCACGTATCATGATCACAATAATCCTGGGGGGGGGAGGGTGGATGGGGGGGG